CAAACTTTCCTAAAATGGCTCAAAGATTTTTTTCTGAAAAGTAACAGAATCTACAATTACAGAAATTTCCACAATATACTCCCCTTTAGGTCATCCACATGTGCACCAGAACACACTAAAAAACACACTAAATTACCAAAATAGTCGTGCCCTAGCTATCTGGTATAACATGTCATAGAACATGTCCCAAGATCATGTAGAACATGATTTCTGACAGACATGGCAGAATATCTGGTTCAACACCTTGCAAACAACATGTTGTTTTACCAAAATGCAGTCATATATATATATATATATATATATATATATATATATATATATATATATATATATATATATATATATATATATATATATATATATATATATATATATATATATATATATATATATATATATATATATATATATATATATATATATATATATATATATATATATATATATATATATATATATATATATATATATATATATATATATATATATATATATATATATATATATATATATATATATATATATATATATATATATATATATATATATATATATATATATATATATATATATATATATATATATATATATATATATATATATATATATACACGTGTATATATATATATATATATATATATATATATATATATATATATATATATATATATATATATATATATATATATATATATATATATATATATAGATATGTATATATATATATATATATATATATATATATATATATATATATATATATATATATATATATATATATATATATATATATATATATATATATATATATATATATATATATATATATATATATATATATATATATATATATATATATATATATATATATATATATGTATATATATATATATACATATGTATATATATATATATACACATATGTATACATATATATACATATGTATATATATATACATACGTATATATATATATATACATATGTATATATATACATATATATATATATATATATATATATATATATATATATATATATATATATATATATATATATATATATATATATATATATATATATATATATATATATATATATATATATATATATATATATATATATATATACATATGTACATATATACATATGTGTGTGTGTGTATATATATATATATATATATATATATATATATATATATATATATATATATATATATATATATATATATATATATATATATATATATATATATATATATATATATATATATATATATATATATATATATATATATATATATATATATATATATATATATATATATATATATATATATATATATATATATATATATATATATATATATATATATATATATATGTATTGAATTCAACGACATAACTCATAAACCACAATCTGTTGCAACAACAACAACAATAATTCAACATCATGAAGTAAATGAATTGAAGCGAGAATAAGCGAGAAATTGATTAAAGCATTTTATCGAACACCTAATATATTTTTATATTATTTGAGGATCAAATTTATTCATTTCTTCTTCTTTTTTAGAACAGTGTACATATTTTTTAAAACTTTAGTAGTTATTACTTTTATGTTAACTTTTATTTCTCCTAAGTATTCATTTTGTTGTTATTTGTTAATTTTTCCTAAATTGCAAATTTATTCTTTATTTCAATTCTTGCACTTTTTATAGTGTAGTTGAATCTAAATATTATAATATCAAAAAAAAATTGATGTAATCTATGCTTAATTGCATAAAAAAGGTTTTAAAAAATTAATATTTTTCTTTGTGAAAAATTTTTAATTTATGGCAGTCAAAATTGTCATTATCAACCTTAAAGAACCCTCTATTTTATTCCATGTATATTATGACATTTTATGTGGCAGTCAATTTTATTCAAAATTGTCATGTTTTTCTGCGCTTTCGTTAATTTTAGACGGTTTAAACCGCCATAATATCACCTTCGAACCGCCACAATTTTCATTAATTTTTATATAAAAAATATTTTGGGCCAGAGCTTGGGCATCTGCCCAGCCTAGCCAGGCCTTAAAATCATAGAAAATTACATATAAGGCTAATTACATGAATTAATGTATAAAATAACATATAAGACTAATTATATATAAAATAACAATTAAAAAGCATAAATAAAAATTACATGAATTAATGTTTGTATGTATGTACATATAAGGCTAATTTCAATAAACGTAAGTCATAGAAAATACGGTTAATTCATAATAGGTTAAATTTATTTATTTCTATTTGAATTTGTGGTGTGTATCATCTCCGACATTCATTTCTTATATTTAAAGAAAATTTAAGTCTTTTTTATAAATTAAAAATCAGTATTTGATTCACGTGACAATGCACACATAAGGTAAATTTTATTTTGAAAATGAAAAAAAAAACTTTTAATATATTAGTAGTTTATTTGTTTGCAATATAGTTAATTGAATGATGAGGGGGCTGATATTTTATGTGAGGTCAAAACATATGCATATTAAATTAATATTATATTTAAATTTAATATTTATTTTAAAAAAATGAAAATATTATTGTGAGATGGTAACCGGAAGTTGAATACATTTAACTTATTTGTGAAAAGATCAATATTCTTAAAAATGCATGCTTATAAACCCTATTCTTAAATATGGAATTTATTTTTTGATATAAACATATAATATTAATTAATAAATGAGATTTTTTTTCAATGAAGCACTCTTTATAATAGCCACCAAAAAGAAAATTCAATGTATGAAATGCATCTCATCATCTTTATAAAAAAAAAAAAAAACATTTACCTCATTATGCCTTAAAAAGTTTTAGGGAATAATATAAAAAATAATTCTTAATTACCCAATAAATTTTTTGTACCATTATTAATAAGGATAAAATTTATCTAACACATCTAAAATTCAAAGAATGTAATAAATAATTAAATTTATCTAACACATCTAAAATTCAAAGAATGTAATAAATAATTAAACTTTTTGATTTCTATTTGAATTTGTGGTGTGTATCATCTCCGACGATTATTTCTTATATTTAAAGAAAATTTAAGTCTTTTTTATAAATTGAAAATCAGTATTTGATTCACGTGACAATGCAAACATAAGGTTAATTTTATTTTGAAAATGAAATTTTTTTTAATGTATTAGAAGTTAATTTGTTTGCAATGTAGTTAACTGAATGATGAGGGAGCTAATATTTTATGTGAGGTCAAAACATATGCATATTAAATTAATATTTATTTTAGAAAAATAAAAATATTATTGTGAGATGGTAACCGAAAGTTGAATACATTTAACGTATTTGTGGAAGAGATCAATATTCTTTAAAAATGCACGCTTTATGTAAACCCTATTCTTAAATATGGAATTTATTTTTTGAAATAAACATATAACATTAATTAATAAATGAGATTTTTTTTAAATGAAGCACTCTTTATAATAGCCACCAAAAAGAAAATTCAATGTATGAAATGCATCTCATCATCCTTATAAAAAAAAGAGAGAAATTTACCTCATATGCCTTAAAAAGCTTTAGGGAATAATATAAAAAATAATTCTTAATTACCCAATAAATTTTTTGTACCATTATTAATAAGGATAAAATTTATCTAGCACATTAAAATTCAAAGAATTTAATAAATAATTAAATTTATTTAACACATCTAAAATTCAAAGAATGTAATAAATAATTAAAATTTTTGATTTCTATTTGAATTTGTGGTGTGTATCATCTCCGACGTTCATTTCTTATATTTAAAGAAAATTTAAGTTTTTTTATAAATTAAAAATCAGTATTTAATTCAGGTGACAATGCACACATAAGGTTAATTTTATTTTGAAAATGAAATTTTTTTTTAATATATTAGTAGTTAATTTGTTTACAATGTAGTTAATTGAATGAGGACTGATATTTTATGTGGGGTCAAAATATATGTATATTAAATTAATATTATATTAAAATTTAATATTAATTTTAGAAAAATGAAAATATTATTGTGAGATGGTATCCGGAAGTTAAATACATTTAACTTATTTGTGGAAGAGATCAATATTCTTAAAAAATACACGCTTTATCTAAACCCTTTTCTTAAATATGGAATTTACTTTTTGATATAAATATATAATATTAATTAATAAATGATATTTTTTTTCAATGAAGCACTCTTTATAATAGCCACCAAAAAGAAAATTCAATGTATGAAATGCATCTCATCATCTTTATAAAAAAAAAAGAAGAGAAATTTACCTCATTATGCCTTAAAAAGCTTTAGGGAATAATATAAAAAATAATTCTTAATTACCCAATAAATTTTTTGTACCATTATTAAGAAGGATAAAATTTATCTAGCACATTAAAATTCAAAGAATGTAATAAATAATTAAATTTATCTAACACATCTAAAATTCAAAGAATGTAATAAATAATTAAATTTATCTAACTCATCTAAAATTCAAAGAGTATAATAAATAATTAAATATAATAAAATAAAGTAAAATTAATTATTTAAGTAATATTAAATATTATATATAAAGGTTGAATAATTTCTTCGTGTACGTTGACGTGTTTTTGTTTTTAGTTCCTAATTTTTTAAAAATAATTCTTGAATGTTTAATATTTTTAGTTATAGGCTTTAAAATTAAAATTTGTAGGAAAATATGAAGGTTTTCTGCGGATTTTCCTTCGAATTTCCGATTTTTCTTTGAATTTTTTTAGAGACTAAAACACAATAATTCTAACATCTAGATACTATTTCCAAAAATGATTTTTCTTTGAATTTTTTTTTAGAGACTAAAACAAAATAATTCTAACATCTAGATACTATTTCCAAAAATGATTTAGGGACTAAAAGTAATTCTAACATCTAGACGAAAAGACTATTTATAGCTATAATTTTTTATGGTATGTAGAAAAGTTGTCTCCTATTATAAATACGTGAATCTCAATCCCTTTGATATCATAAAAAAAATGGAATCAAAATCAATTCCTAAAGTTCTTCTCAATTCAGGTCACAAAATGCCAATGCTAGGGTTTGGCACTGGAACTGTACCCTTACCACCATCTTATGAACTCATTCCAGCATTCATCAATGCCATCAAAGTTGGTTATAGGCATTTTGACACTGCAGCTTATTATGGTTCAGAAGAATCTCTTGGTCAAGCCATAACACAAGCATTGGAACAAAATCTTATTAAAGATCGTAATGAACTTTTTGTCACTACTAAACTATGGTGCAGTGACGCTCACCCTGGCCTTGTTCTCCCCGCACTCGAAAGCTCACTCAAGTAAATAAATTACCCTCACTTGTATAATTAGTTTTTTTCTCTTAAATTATATTAATTAAGATTTTTTGACTCTCATTTGACACTTAAAAATCTTACATTTAGTCTTTTTCTTTTGTGGTTCTTAAAGGAGATTGGGCCTAGAATATGTGGATTTATACCTAATACATTTTCCAGTGAGGTTGAGACAAGGTGTTGAAGGGGCTAACTTCAACAATGGAGACATTCTTCCTTTTGACATGAAAGGAACATGGGAAGATATGGAAAAATGTGCTACTTTGGGCTTGACTAAGTCTATTGGTCTCAGCAACTTTGGCGTCAAAAGAATTTCTGAAATTCTACAATATGCAACTATTCCTCCTGCTCTTGTCACGGTACTTTCCCTTTTTTATTGATTATATAATATACATTACCATAGTTAGGTTGATATAAATTTTAATAAAAATTAAAATTTTGTATTGATCCAACATTTCTTTCATATAATCAAGAGTTGTTATAAATTTACGAAGACATAGGTAGATTAACCACAATTCAATCATGACAAAACAATTAAAAATTTTATTCTAAAGTCGCAAAAATTGGATGAATTTAAATCCAATTTAACTATAGCTAATTTTAAATCATGTCTAACACGTTCTCAAAAATAATTCACATATAAAAAAGATGCATTGTAAATGTCAGCCTTTTTTCAGGTCTAAAAATGTGCAATTAGGTGAAAGATATATCAACAAGATTACTCTTAAATATTCTACAAATAATCCAACAGTAATAATATTCATGAATGATTTGTTTCCAGGTGGAAATGAATGCAGCATGGACACAAGAAAATCTAAGAAATTTCTGCAAAGAGAAAGGCATTCATGTGAGTGCATGGTCACCTTTAGGAGCTAATGGAGCTGCATGGGGTTCACTTGCTGTTATGGACAGTCCAATACTCAAAGAAATTGCAACTTCATTAGGAAAATCTGTGGCACAAGTGAGTTATTTTATTAACAGGATTGCTATGTTGACACCATTTTCTACACCCTACACCCAATGCACTGTTCACAAATACTTGAACAAATTCTTCAAAACATGGTTAATAGTGTGTATTTTATTGGTTAATGAAGTAATGAAAGTGGTTAATAAATTATAGGTAAAATAATTGGTTAATGATGTAGATTTTTGTGGTTAATGCAACTGTGAAGTTGGTTAATGCGCAATCTTATATTTGTCTTATAAAATAAATTTTAAAAATAAATATTTTTTTTTAAAAATTAATATTTTAAAAAATATATATTATTTTAATAAAAAAACACTGTTCACCGTATAAATACGGTGGACAGTGCATACGGTGTAAGTATTGGGTGTAAAAATGGGTGTAAGAATAGCATTTTTGTTTTATTAACCATATCTCTATACTTTTGCATGGATAATATCTTCAATATTGGCTATGAAATTGTGTTGCACTATTGAAGGTTGCATTGAGATGGATAATAGAGCAAGGTTCGACTCCAATTGTGAGGAGCTTCAACAAGGAAAGAATGAAAGGAAATCTTGAAGTATTTGATTGGAAGCTAAGTGAGGATGACTTGGAGAAGATCAAGAAAATACCACAATATAAGGCTTTTAAAGGAGGACGTTTTATCACAGAAAATGGACCTAACAAAACTGTGGAAGATCTTTGGGGTTGATGACAAGACATGAAATTCAAGAATGTTTTCTTTCTTTTTACTTCATCAATAAATTAAATAAAAAAGTTTGTGTTAGATATTTTCAAAATGCAACCCTTTATAGTATGGTTTCATAATTATTCGAGATATTTGTCCTTTGTGTGTGGATAAATAATCTATATTTTAGATATGTTATTGAATAAAAAATCAAACTTTTCTTAACAATAGAAATTTCTGTCTATGTTATTGACAACCAAAAATTAATTACTCTTATTGGAACCTCCCAATCTCCAAACAATTCTGTCTTGTTTATCCACAGTAGGAGTCACGGTATTCAAGGCTAGTTGCAGCTCTCTAATTCTTTCCGCTTTCTCAAGCTGATCCATCTCAGATAAACCAAGATTTCCCCACAACCAAACACCTTGTATCCAATCTCCCATGGCTTGAACAGAATCAGCATTTCTATTGTTGCATCCATATAAATCTGCAAAAACAATTGACAGGGGTTGTTGTTTTAGCCACCTAGAGGACCAAATGGGAATAGAATTTCCATCTTGTAATTCGAAATGAGCGTAATATGCAAAACAAAACCCATGGTTAGTAGTAAAGTTACCGTGCTTAATGATGTCTCTCCACCAATAAGAAAAAGAGCTCCTAGAATCCAACTTATTTGTAATAACTTGTTGTTCAATAAAACCATATCTAGCTTTCAGCGTGTCCTTCCATAACGAATTTTGATCATTAAAAATCCTCCATTTCCATTTAGCTAAAAGAGCATTGTTGAATTCCTCCATACATTTTATTCCAAGGCCACCATTTTCCTTTGGTGAACACACTATCTCCCACTTAATCCAATGGATTTTAGACTTATCTTCAGATCCTTCCCACAAACACATGCTCCTAATCTTATCAATAGCTTTCAAAATCGACATCAATGCCTCATAAAAAGAAAACCATAATATAGTCAGGCTAGTCAAAACTGCATTAATAAGAGTTAATCTACCTGCCATAGATGAAACTGTAGCCTTCTAAGAATCCAACCTAGCTTTGATCTTATCGACAACCGGTTTCCAACCAATAATTCTCTTAGGATGAAAACCTATAGGCACTCCAAGAAAATAAAAAGATGAATTTCAATCTTACAAGCTAAGAAAGAAAAAGCAGCCAAAAGAAAGTGAGGACTTCCGTTTGACCCAATTAACCTGCTCTTGTTGAAACTCACCTTCAATCCTGACACCAGCTCAAAACCCCTTAGAAATGCTTTAACGCTCCACAAATCATTCCAACTCCCTTCTCCAATGATTAGAGTGTCATCCGCAAATTGAATTAATTCCACAAAAATTCCTTCTCCTACACTGAAACCTTTGAAATTTCCCACTGCCACATCCTTCTTCATCAAGCTAGTTAATCCTTCCGCCACGATGGCGAAAAGGAAGGGAAATATAGGATCTCCTTGCCTCAATCCTCTTTCCACCGTGAAATCTTTTGTAGGCCTGTCATTGAACATGATCGATAAATAACATTTGAAGATTTTAGCTTCCATCCACCTCGTCCACCTTCTCCCAAAACCCATTCTTTCCATCAAGAAACGAAGGAAGTTCCAGCTTACGCAATCGCAATCATTCCTTTTTATCCCTAGTAGCCTTATCAACCGTTTTGTTTGCAATGACTACTTCATCCAACAATTGCCTTCCAGAAACAAATGCCGACTGACACGAAGAGATTAATTTCCCAATCACAATTTTGAGTCTCACCGCCAATCTTATATAAACTCCCTACAAGACAGATAGGCCTATAATCTCCAAGGTTCAACGGATTATCAAATTTTAGAATAAGGGTTAGAAAAGAAGAGGAAACCACTTTAGGAAGGAAAGAAAATTCATGAAACTCTTTAACAAACCTCACAATGTCGTCCTTAATAATAGCCCAGCAATTCATGATGAACAAGAGGTTATACCCGTTTGGGCCTGGGCTTTTAGAGTCATCATAACTCCACACCGCACCTTTAATCTCATCTTCTGTAAATGGCCTCTCCAAAACAATACATCCTCTTCAGTAAGTCTTCCAAATTGGCATCCCTCCAACATCGATCTATTAAAATCCTGCTCAGTGGATTTTCCAAGAAAAAACTCCTCATAGCTTCCTTGACACCTTCCACTGACTCCACCATTCCATTGACTGTATCCACCCTCCCTATGAACTTCCTCCTCAAGCTGCCTTTAATCTAACTAGGATAGAATCCAGTATTGTAATCCCCTTCCTTTAACCAACTGACCTTAGTTTTCTGCATAACCATGTTTTCCTTGATATGTAAATTCCTCCAAAATTCCTTACAAGCCATAGCTCTTTTGTCATTCACCTCCCTGACCTCATCTTCCCTAACTGATTCCAACTACAGGTCTACCTTATTTATCACTTTAACTTCCTCCTCCATTTTGAGATTGTACCAACCAAACACCTATTTGCTCCACTTGATAATGTTTTTTTTCCAGAAGTCTAAATTTTTCTTTTACCACAAAGTCACTTCTACCTATGATGTCCATCTCCTTCCATTCCTTCAAATCATCAAAAAAAAAGGCTTTGAATTCACAAATTTCAGAATACCTGATATTGTTGTTCTTTCCCTTTCTTTCCGACACATGTGAGGTAGCATTACAATCTCCTCCCAAAATCCAATTTCCATTAGAGAACTTTGATTTCATCTTGATAAGATCACTCCACAACTTCCTTTTCCCATTCAGATCACAAGGAAAATAAATATTCACTACAAAGAAGATCTCATTGTTCAATAGTAATTTAATGCCAAGAAAACCATCTCCTCTGAACGAACATAAAACCATGATAGATTCAACATCCTAAATTGTGATTAGACCTCCATCTTGACCATGAGCACCACTAAAAGACCAACCCACTTCACCATGCCTCCAAAGACTTTTGATAGTAGATTCCTCCATAATCCTGAGTTTCGATTCCTGAATAAAGAAGATGTTAGCTTTCCCTTTTTTATGATTTCATTGACTCTTCTTATTTTTGATAGAGCTCATCCCCCTATAATATTCAATGATCTGATAATCATTGCACATTTTTGAAATGCACCTTCTGGCCGATGAATCTCTCTTTGTCCGCAGCCTCCAATTCAGCAATCTTCCTGTGATAATCTTTAGTCTTATCATTGGCCACTACACCTAGATTTGAGATTGCTTCCCAAATCTTCTCCCCTACCTCTGATTCTAAATTATTCTAGAACTTTTGGTTACAACATCTCAAATCAGAGTCAGATGTTTGTTCGCAACACAATATAACACCTGCGGAATAATTATCAGAGTCCTCTTCCCTGTTATATGAACTAGCTGGATTTCGAGAATTAAAAGAGGAACTATGGTTTTTGTTTGAAACAACAAAATTAAAAAGATTGGGAATAATCTTCAATAGGATCCTCCGATGTACCCGACCTATTAGAAATGGCCAGGCCCACATTCCTCTTAACCTTAACCTTGGATTTTCTTTTCACAGGCCCAATAACATCTGACAAACTTTTCATTTTAACCTTTTTACTTTTGATCTCCTTCCCACTTTCGAATTTTACACGATCCTACCATGTTTTTGGGTAGGAATATCCAAAATGCCACATGTTTCAGGATATATCCCACAATACCACACATTTAAAAAAGTTGAAATTATTGGCTGGAGCTTGCCGCCCATTCATTGGACGGTAGTGTGTATATTTATAGTGTGCCGCCCAAGGCCGGGGGAGAGTCCAACTCATTATTTTATTTTTATTTTTTTTGTTTTATTTTTTTTGTGTTATTTCTGTTTTAATATTATTAATATATATAATAATATATATTAATAATATTAATATATATTAATAATATATATTAATTTATATTTATATATCATAATATATATTAATATATATAATAATATATATTAATATTATTAATATTAGTAAAATTAATATTTATTTATATTTATATTATTAATATATATTATTATCAATATATATTAATATTATTAATATTATTATTTAGTAACATTATCAATAATGTTAATATTAATATAATCAATTAAAGTATAATATAAATTTATATTTTTAAGACATAATTTATATTAATTGATATCATTAACTAATATTATTTAATACATGATGATTAATAAAAACACTAACGATTACTTGTTCTCACATCGGGACACCGAGTGCGATTGTGGCCTGTTTGACGACACATGGAACATTTTCTCTCAAGCTTATCAAAGTTATCCATTTCCGTTGTAATAGGTGTGCTCACTGGACGACCTTTCTTGTTCCTCCGCATCCTTGGGTTATGGAAAATTTGATCTCCTTCATAAACGGGTTTGTAAACCCCAAACAGGTTTGTAACCCTATAAACGTCGGACAAAAGAGCGTAAGCGTCGTGGCGCACATTCGAACATGCAGCGATAACATGTGAGCAAGGGACACGATATGCTTGAAACTTTCTGCAGTCACACCACCCCGTTCAAGAGGTCGACCTTATAATGTCCCATAGGCTTCCCCTCACCATGGTCCATTGTCTCCTTCACACTGAAAACATTGTTAGCGTAGTCAAAAATTCTGACTTGATGTGTGCTAGATTTTGTTGTTTCTTCTTTCATAACCTTGAGGCAGTTGTTTGTAAATGTTTGGTCGGAATTCAACACAGCACTCCACTTTCCACCTCTTTCAGCAAATAAAGATCCCAGTATATAATATGTTACTCTTACCAATGTTGTAATGCGCAAATTACGTGTGCCCTTAAAGATAGCATTCATTGACTCGACAAGGTTGGTAGTCATGTGACCCCAACGCCGACCCCCATCAAATGCCTTTATCCATTTTTCGGCTGGAATATTGTCAATCCACCTTAAAGCATCTGCATTTGCCATGCCAATCTTTGATCGATAGTAATGAAATGTTGGTTGGTTTAAAGCGTATCCGGAATAATTAAAATATCAAATTAAAATATTGACAAAATAATATATGTTATTGACGAAATGTAATGAAT